TCATAGGAGCAGAAAGGCTGACGTTTCGGGCCTAGACCCTTCATCAGAAATAAGCACTGCATTCCCAGAAGACAAGGTCTCCAGCAATAATTCCTAGGACTCAGACACTGCCAGCGTCTGGTTGGCTAGCAGCCTCTGGCAAGATGGGACTTTAGTGAGAAAGCCTGTCGTTCACCGTGTATTATTTTACTGCATGAAGAATGTTTCTTACCGATTCTCAGAATATCTGTGTTACATACCTGAATTATTTACAATAGTTTCTGATGTGTGATGTAAATTGAAAGAATCAAAATGAAAGTACTTTAATAATTACAGAAAGAAAATTATATATCTTTCAATGAGAAAGGGGGACTGAATTGGTTTTGCATTTTTCCTTTCATCACAGATCATTTAACAGGGCAAGTGGGCAAGCCATAGCTATGTAATGCTGCTCTATATTCAATCAAGAGGAGAGTAGGATAACCCATAGAGAACAGGGCTGAGATTCTCCCTCTGCCCATTTGGTTAGCCCTAAAACTGTCAAATACCTGAACAGTAAAAGCTTCCACTATCAGCAATGGAACTGTAAAACTGTTTACAAAGAACAGCTTGACAATTTCATATGACAGAGGAAAACCATGTCCTACAATCCTGATACACAGCATGGTGGAATAGAAATCAGCTGTAGCTTTGGGCCACACCTTATTCTCCTACAGCATGTGATTCTGTGGTGAGCAATGTCTGAAATAATCAGAAACAATGGTAAAATCAACATTATCTGATGTTTCTGTGGGAAGTCGTGTAATTTTCATTATCTGTTATTGTCACTGTCACTAGGCAACTGGTATTTCTTTAAAATCTTCATCCGTTCTAAATCCGATTCCAAACAGAGTGGCAAGTATCTAACATTTCATTCAGCACTCAATCATTGTATCAGACAGTATGCACAAAAATGTTAACATCAGCTCATTATTTGTCCAAAACTAAACAGTCTGCAAATATTAATTTTGACTAGGGATTTCTTTTAAAGCATATGCATTGAACATAAAAAAGACTTCTTGTAATTAGATAAATCAATTCAAAGCAAATAAAGCCTGATTTTAAGCCTGAACAGTCAGTGGGAACTGGGCAGATGTTAAAGTGGTGGTCAGCACCTTACACTACATTCCCAGTCTATTTGTGCCTCATGGTAATTTAAAGCCCAGGTCTTGGACAGTCTGAAATCTACAGTCTGAGACCAGTGCAAGCTTCTTAAATATGGAAAGGCCAGTGTCTAATGACATCAATCCAATAACCAAAAATGCTTCATACCCACCACTCACCTCATTGGAGACCATTCCCTTCAATATATAGTAATGGCCTGTCACCCTGCATTTTTCTACTCCAGAACATTTCACCATTCTCACCTGTTTTGAGCTATGTGAAAAATTAAGGAGTAGGTGTTAAAAAAGAACCAGGCCTCACATCATCTTGTCGTGGGTGCTTGCCAACTAAGCGATCTGTACAATCCACACTCATGCTCAACTGAAATACACAAAAATCTACACTAACACACTAGTGTAGTACTAAAGGAGTGCTGCAACATTGGAGGTCCTGTCTTTTGGTCAAGATACTAAACCAACACCCTGTTACCCCTTCATATGAATGGTATGATTTCAAAGAATTACAGGGGATCACAGAGTCCTAACCTCAATCAACATAACAAAAACAGATTATCTGACTGTTATCACAATGTTTTTTGGATTGGTTTGCTATCTACAAAATGGTTTTGGCATTCCTTCATCACAACAACGATCATACTTCAGAAGTGCGCCATTGGTTGTAAAGTATTCTGAGATATCCGGTGGCCATGAAAAGCAGTATGTAAATGCAAGTCTTTCCTTTCTTTTCAAACTTAAAACAGGGCTTACAAATTTTACACAGTTGATTTTGATTCAGTACGATCCATCCCTTTTAACCTGCTAATATGTAAATACACAGGCAACTTGTCAGATGCTCCACATTCTGTCATTCATTTGTGAAGTAGCCCTAAATGGGTTATAAGCTAGTGTTGCCAGCTGGAAGGAAAAGTCCAGGCTGATTGAAGTAGATTATAATTTTAATTATTGTATTCCCAATAGAACTTTCTCATGGTACAGTGAATGATGCTGGAAACTACTTCCAGAATTGCAAAGTTACTCAGGGAATGAGGTTTCCCTGTAATTTTTGTGATCTGTACATTGTCACCCGTGACATCAGGTTCAGAATGCTCAGAATTTGGCTGTTGCAACTCTGAGGCATCACTATCTCTAATTGCTCATTCCCAACTTGTGATCTATATCCCTATTTGAAAAAAAATCCTTCCTTATTACCAACTCACCTCAGCTCCCTCCTGTATAGGTCCTTTAATTACCCTTTGTCTGTCACCCTTTCCTTCCCCTCCCACCCATAAAAACCGGATGGTAAGAGAAGAAAATAAGTGAATTTGGTTAATACAGTTCCCTTTCCCTTTGCAAAATTTCCATTTCATTTCTAAATAGAGTTATACGTGAAATAGCACTCCTGTTATGTTGTAAATTGAAGTTAGTAAACACAAGCCTTATGACCAGGCAAATGTGTTTCCATCACTACCTCTGAATATGCCAACATTCCAGGGAGCTTATTATAACCTGCAGCATGTTGAAATTACAGCAGTGAATAGGCAGATTGGATCTGAAATATTGAATCAGATTATTCTATTTTTAGTTCCAACAACTTGTCTGAGTATTTTAAATCTTGAATAGCTAATAATGTGACAGTATTTGAATCTTCAAATCCATTCCACTGGTTGTTCTATATACTTTCATTTCCTTTTTATTTGGTTAAATCTCCAGATACAGCCATGTATGAACAGTTAACGCTTCCCTTTGCCTTCTGCATATGAATCCATTGGTTGTTCGGACATGAGACAATTCAGAATGCACGGACTGACTATTTGCTTTCAGTCTAGCTGAGATCAGTACACTTCAAAGAGGTCAGGATGTTAGATGATAAAATACAAATAATCCTTTCAATTAGTTTGTTGTAGAGGTGTTATTTCTGTGAAAATATGTTTTGTAAAATTCCCAGATTGAATATTTAAGATCAACATGATAAATCTGCAGCATATTCTACTTTCTCAAGAGGAACATTTAAATAAACTGAAACATGTAACTTCATTTAGCATTTTGTG